ATTTCGTGAAAAAAAAAATTTGAGAGCATTATCTCGTTGATTTTGCCATTATTAGGGTATACTTTATACACCAACAACAAATTATAAGTGTTGATTAAAAGTATATAGTTATTATATATATAGTTTTTTATTTTCTAAAATTATTTATCCTTTTTATTGAAGTATCTTAGATCATAACTTGATTCACGGTTCGAACTAATCCTATCAAATATTTTGAAAAAATGTTATTCTTTTATTAATCTAAAGTAATTACAGAGTATTTGTTTTAAAGATTTTATACTATTTGACAATGAAAATTGAAATACTCTAAAAATAACTATTGAGTACAATAGGTACTAATGTCGATACATAAGTGAAGTGGATGGTTAAAATTTAATTGTAATGTCGATATATGAATGAAATGAATGATTAAAATTAATAGTGATAAATGATAATATTTTTATGAGCAAAAAACTTTATCTTTAATTTAAAACTTTTAATTTTAATAATTAAATTAATTTATTCTAAAAATGTGTAAAATTCTAAAATTTCATATTAACTCTACTCATATATATATACATGTAGGCATGGGCATGGGTCGGGTTTTTGTTCCACCCGAGATCCAATCCGATCCGAGAACAAGAAATCCTCCACCCGAGATCCGACCCGACCCGATATATAATTTAAAAACCTGATCCAAACAGACCGAAATAATAATAAAATATTATTTTTATTCAATAAAAACAATGATTTAATTGAAAAAAATAATATATAGAAGGTTATTGTTGTAATTATTCTAAATATATAAGTAAAATTATATATTTTTTGGGTCGGGTCAGGTTAGGTATTTTTCACCCTAAACCTGAACCCAACCCGAACATCACATTGAAAAAACTCGACCCGACCCTGATTTTTTTTAAAACACGACCCGACGGGTCTGGTCGAAACCCGTCGAGTTCGAGTCTCATGCCCGTCCCTATATACATGATTGAAAGTGTAATCTAGACTTTTTTTATAGTGATATCTTTATCAATTAATTGTCAATCAATGATGATCAATGATTACATGGTTCAATAAAAGAGTGACACATAATAATGTTTATATAGTTTTGTGTTGTCTATTAAATTCTAATATGTAAAATATTATATTTAAGTAAAGATAATATTTTGAGCAATTTGAGAGAAAAAATTCAAATATAATTTTTAATTAAAAATAAATTATCAAGATGAAAATAAATAATTTAAATTCAACTTATTATTGAAGTGGATATATACGTTTTGGGTAAACTACGTATTTAATACTTAAACTATCAGTTTTTATTTGTTTAGTACCTAAACTTTTTTTTTCAAAGTCATACCTAACGTTTAGTTTTCATTTCATTTTAGTATCTCTCCGTAAAAAATTGACGCATTTAGTACCTAAACTATCAGTTTTGGCCCGTTTTAGTATCTAAAGTTTAAAAAAAATTCAAAATATGGTGTTAAAATTTTGAACGGGTACTAAAATGAGACAAAATCTCAAATTTTTAACAGTGGGATACTAAAATGTAATAAAAACAAAACTTTAAGTTATGTTTAATGCAGCTATGGATTTAGGAGTAGTTTGAAAGGTTGATATATAGAGGAATTATGCTCATTTTCAACTCCTCGAGCAATTAGTTTTAACTTGAATTCCCTAACCATCAAGGAAGGAGGTTGACCAGTCATCGGGGAATCATTCTTCGGCTGATTTGGAAGGCATGTTTACGGAAATTTGGTCTACAAAATACGGTTGTTGTACAAAAATTGTGCACTAATTAACTACGGGATGCTGCCCTCTTCTCTACGGCGGTTAGGGTTAACCTTGTTAAACCCCTCACTAATGACGGTGCCTAACTATTCCAGGCAATCAATTTTGATCGGTGTCTATACAAAGTATGCTAAATATGTATTTATAATGTTTCTATAACACACGACATAACCTAGCAGCCTTAATGAAATTAGAGGCTAGACTAGCCACGAGATACACACGTCTCTACTCCTAGCCATAAAACGACGCAATAACTTCCTACTCTGTATGTCGTTTTCGCCCTTCTAATCTACCAAAACTAAATCTACATTCCACTCCTCTACTTGTAAATTCTTTCAACATTTTACCAGCTTGAAAAAATATATTTGACTCGATTTTTTTCTCCAAAACATAACACGTGTGTTGCCGTTCTTATCATTTTACCTCTAAATTTGTTATCAACCTAACGGTCGTGACCAAATTGATAGTAATTCGTAATATTAACGACTGAATTTATAATATTTTTAATTTGATGACCAAAATAGAATATATTTAATAATTGGGTGACTAAGGTGGTTGTTTACCTTATAATTAATTACATATCATGCCTATCGATGATAAGACATTGAGTGACAAAAAAAAAAAACCTAACGTGATAAGATAACTATCGATTATCACTGTAGAGTGAGAAAGAATTTGTTGGAGCCTATCTTTGAACAACCCCATAAAAATCCAACTAATTGTTGGTTTGGAATATGTAATCAGAACAAACGTAAGAATCTTATGATATGAATGTAAATTTATAAACAAAATAAATTATTAAAGAAAAATATAAAGTAAATAATTTAAAATTTTCCGTTCATTGTTCATCCCTTTCGGATCAAATATAAAGAAAATACCTAAATTATATTAGAACTTAAAATTATGAAGAGAACGGTCGTCCCGTAAGGCTCTAGGTCCATCCGGTCTATGATGGTAGAAATAGAAAACAGGGTTTGGGTCATGTTTAGCATGTTCAAAGGAACAGGCAGCGCTGGCTGGCTAGCAACGACCGAGCAAAGAGAAGATAAAAGGTGGGGCAAAACAGACAGATTAAGATAAGGATCCCAAATCCCTTTGGTTTACTATTCAAACGACAGTAACACAAGGCTAAAGGCCGCCACCGGCTGCGGTCCAGTCTCCGGTCTTGTTCCATTTTCGGTTTTGTTTTTATGCTGGTGTGGGTACCAGGGAATGGAGGGGTGAAATTCATATATAATGTTTACGTACAAGGAATCTTGATTTCTTGCATGGACAAATGAGTTGATAATAATTTACGTGATCGAAACAATGTTTTGTTGCGACACGTGATATGCGTGAGGAAAACGATAATGTATTTGCAACTTGCAGTCAATCTCCCCCTCGCAGCCTCACTGCCCTCTTCTCAATGGCAAACCAATCTTGCTTGTCATTATGCGACCATATAGGGACGAGTTTTTGGACTCAATCCCAATTACAATCAGGGATGATAACGGGTCGGATTTAATCGAATTTTTGATTAATTCGACTCGATTCAAGAAACATACTTTTTTCACTCAAATCCGACTCGACCTGTGGAGCATATTCCCTACACCCGACCCAAGGAGTTTATTTTCTCCACCCAAACTCGATGACAACACATAAATATACAATCATTTTATTTTGATAAAATAGAGACTTAATTAAATAAAGTTATAGAAAGAGAGGTATTATAATAATTATCTTTAAATTTATAAAAGTTGATTCACGAGTCGAAGAATTTTTTCCTAAATTCAACTCGAATTGACTCATACTCTGTTTTAAAATAAAATTAACTCTATCGTATCAGATGAGTTCAAACTTGTCAAATTCAAGTTAAATTATTATCTTTAATTACAGCACACAAATAAATCTTAGTGATATAGCTTGAGTGGGTCTAATATTATTTAATAATATTTTTTTATAAAATCCATAAAAACATAAGTTATTACCGAAACGATTATATTAATAAGGATTCAAGTTTAACGAGAAAATAAAAAAAATGTAATTTAATACGATAAAAATGTATTAATATGAACAAAAATAAGTAAGTATCAAGAAGGAGTAGGGGTGTTCAAAATTCAGTTTTAACCGAATTAACCGATCGAATCGAATTAGTTCGATTAATTCGGTCGGCCACCGAATTAGTTCGGTCGGGGAACAATTAAGGATTTTTTTATAATTCGATTAACGGTTAATTCGGTTCGAAATCAGTTAATTAACCGAATTAACCTTTAAATATAATTATATTAAGAGACTTAGCTTACCCAATCCATTTAAAACTCATTTAAAACCCAAATTAATATTAATTAATTAAAATAATCTCAAAACTAAATGCAAAATGTTTGAATCAAATTAATTAGATATTATTTAAATTAATTTTAAATTAATTTTTTTTAATTAAAATACGAAATTCTAAAAAATTTCGGTAAATTCAAAAATTAACCGAAATTTATTCGGTTCGGTTAATACTTTCAAAAAAAGTTCGGTTCGGTTAACGATTAAAGAAAAAAAAGTTTGATTAATTCAGTTAAGGGTATCTCTGTTCGATCGACCACCGTTTTAACCGAATGAACACCCCTAAGAAGGAGCCCAAAGCTAATAAAGAAATAGATAGACTAAATGTTTTAACTTTAATGAGAAAATAGTAAATTATGTAATTAATATTGCTAACTACTTAGAACCCTTTTATATGTCAACACTTATGCAGTTAATTAATTAAAACCAAAGTTTAATTAATAGTAACCTAACAATTGCCTAACTTTAATAATGACCCAATGTGGAATTATTAAGGTGTATCAATTACATTTCATCATTACCATAATTCCATTTTATTCTTTTTGAACTCCAAGGTAAATTACACTTTAGTATTTAAATTATCAATTTTAGTTTGTTTTAGTATTTAAATTTTTAATTTTTTTAAAATTATACCTAAAATTTAGTTTTTGTTTCATTTTAGTATTCATTCAAAATTTAACGTAATTTTTTTTGAAAAAATTGAATGTTTAAGTAGAAATGGATAAAAACTGATAGTTGAGGATCAAATGCTTAGTTTACCCAAAATTTATTATTTCCTGGTTATGTATGATCGTCTCCTTGCCCAATATATATATAAGGGGTGGAGGCGTGGAACTAGCCATGCAACCATAGCTCTCTCATAAACGAAGCTCGAAACTCTGTACGTTAACTCGAAAACATATTGAAACTATATTGGAGAGCTGAAGATACATCTATTTATTGGGACGTATGGGCAGCATGGGCCGTGTATGCGATGAATTGGAGCCGAATGGAGTCGAGCTGGCGTCAAGTTCTTCAACAAATGATACTCCTGCAAAAGTGCCAATAGATATTAGCAAGCTCAGACCCGACGAACGCCATGTTTTCATAGAGAAGCTCATCAAAAACATCGAGAAAGACAACCTCCAGTTGTTGCAGAAGACTAGAAAAAGACTCGATAGGTGAATTATAACAGTATAACTCCATTTCCTATAATGAATTTCGGGATTTATACGCCAAATCTAAACTGGTTTCCGTGTTTAATTTTTGCAGAGTTGACGTCAAATTGCCGACGGTGGAGGTGCGATTCAGAAATCTCAGCGTGGAAGCGGAGTGCGATGTGATTCATGGGAAGCCTTTACCCACGTTGTGGAATTCTCTTCGGAGCATTGTCACTGTAAGTATCGAAGGAGGCGATTTTGGGTTTCGTAAGCAATTTTTTTTGAAAGATCAAATAATCCATGAACTATTGATTTTGTTCTTGGACAGTATCCTGCAGTAAAGCTGTTTGGTTCAAAGTCGCACCGGGCAGAGATGAGCATTATTAACGATATCAGTGGCTGCATAAAGCCTGGAAGGTAATTTTATGCTTGAAATTTGATCGATGTGTATGTAATTTTAGAAGTGAAAAGTTGTTTATACCAAATGAGATTGTGCAGGATGAGCCTGCTGCTCGGCCCTCCGGGATGCGGGAAGACGACGCTGTTGAAGGCACTTTCAGGGAATCTAAACACATCCCTCAAGGTAGTAATTTTAAAGATCAAACTTATAAAATTCGAAAGGACGAAAACTTATAAGTGCCGCCAACCCCCTCGTCTCATCCTATACTCCCTTTTTATTCTTTATACCATGACAATTAATATTAATATACTATGGTTGGTTGATAAAGGGTTTTCTCTCAAAATTAATAAATACTTTTATTTATCTAAAATGATAATTATATATGATTATATAAAAATGTATACAAAGTTTATTATTAAATATGATAATTTTTCATATGTAATAATACATGTTAAAATTTTTGAGTGAATAACAAAATTTAAAACCAATCACAACTGAGTTATAAAAAAAACTAGATTTTAGATTGTCAAAATTTAGCTTATATAAATATATTATTTTTAATTATAAAAAGTTTTATTTTTAATGTATTTTTAATTCCTAAACACAATAATCTTACTATTCATCTAAATGGAGCTTTAGTTTGATTGCAAGCCGCAAGCTACAATATGTACTATAGATGTTAAGCTAAACTATTAAAGTATTTTGGTTGTATGCTAAATTTATGACTGTTACTATTGAAGTATTTTAATTAAACGATAATAAATAAGAAGAAATAAAAATATGTACACATGGATTTACGTAGAATATTCCAAATGAAAAAAATCTCGAGTATAGAATTTTTTTTACTATATTCAACTTTAAATTGTAGTAAGATTACATGAGAATATGTGAAACCTTTAGAATCATATATATATATATATAATTGTACGAACACAATGGTCTTATTCATTTGTTACTCTCAAGTTAATTTTTCGGACTGAATCAAATGAAATTTGAATCACAAACTACAAGTAAAATGGAGCATCCATATGTAAATGTATTGATGGTGTGATATATAAGATGGTTTGAAGATATATATATATATTTTTGGTTGGGTTGTAATAGGTAAGCGGGGAAGTTTCTTACAATGGATACAAACTAGAAGAATTCGTTCCACAGAAAACTTCAGCATATATAAGCCAAGATGACCTGCACATCTCGGAGATGACAGTCAGGGAAACACTCGATTTTTCAGCCCGTTGTCAGGGTTTAGGCAGCCGAGAAGGTGTTCTTTCATTTTCCATCAAACTAACATTCATCTGTAACTTAAATAACCAATGGTGCTAAAAACTAACACTTGTTTTACGGTTACGAAGAATTATTGAAGGAGGTCAGCAGAAGGGAGAAGCAAGCAGGTATCGTTCCAGATCCGATTATCGATACTTATATGAAGGTACATTTAAACATGATCATTTATATGTTTTTATTTTATATTTCGACCGGTGATATCAAATTCAGTCAAGAATAATATGGTCACTTCTGTTCGATCATATAGGCTACATCCATGAAAGGGGCCAGGGGAACTCTTCAAACTGACTACATACTAAAAGTAATTTTTGTCGACAAAGCTTGGACATGCTTCCTATTATAATGCAAGACCAGTAACAGATTCTTGATTCTGCAGATTCTTGGACTTGATATTTGTGCCGGTACTATAGTTGGAGATGCCCTAAGAAGAGGTATCTCTGGTGGACAGAAGAAGAGGTTGACTACAGGTAGTGACAAAACAAATCAATTCATATTACCGTTTAATTTTGGATAGTTAAGCTATTGAACCTTCTTAATTTTGATATATATATATATGTTAATATCACAACAATGTATCTAAATTGTGCAGGGGAGATCCTTGTTGGCCCCATACAAACTTTGTTTATGGATGAAATAACCAATGGCCTTGACAGTTCCACAGCATATCAAATTATTGCTTGTCTACAGCAGCTGGTGCATATCACAGATGCAACTTTGTTGGTCTCACTGCTTCAGCCTGCACCAGAAACCTTTGAACTATTTGATGATATTATATTGATGGGTGAAGGAAAAGTTATATATCACGGACCACGTGGTGGCATTGTCGAATTCTTCGAAAGCTGTGGCTTCAGATGCCCTCAAAGGAAAGGGATTGTGGACTTCCTTCAAGAGGTAAGGGAACACTTGTTCAATTTTTTTTTCTAACACCAGAAAATTTGTCTTATTTCTTCAACTTGAAGTTCTTTGCTATTTGACTATGTAGGTCATATCCAGGAAAGATCAAGAACAATATTGGCATAATACTGAGTTACCCTACTCGTATGTTTCTGTTGATATGTTCTCTAAGCTGTTTAGAGAATCCCCCTTGGGAAAATGGATAAACGAGGATCTCTTAGAGCCATATGATGAGTCTCAATGCCACAAGCATGCTCTTTCCTTTAATGACTATTCTGTTTCAAAATGGGAAATCTTCAGAGCTTGCATGTCAAGAGAATATCTCCTCATGAGAAGGAACTCATTTTTATACATGTTCAAATTAATTCAGGTTAAGAAATTATTAATTTATTTATTTTATCATGGTCTATGCTTTGGTTTGGAAACATAAATTGAGATAGTCTACGTAGTTTGTGCTGATGGATTGCTAACATAAAAAACTTCTTTCATGGCAGCTTGTCATCATTGCAATTGTGACAATGACCGTGTTTCTTAAGAGTGGGATGGATATTGATATCCTTCATGCAAATTACTACTTGGGAGCAATGTTTTATGCGCTCCTGATACTTGTTGTTGATGAATTTCCAGAGATACATTTGACTGTTTCAAGACTCTCAATTTTCTACAAACAGAAAATGTTGCACTTTTACCCAGTTTGGGCTTATGCAATCCCATCTATTATTTTAAAGATTCCTATTTCATTTGTTCAATCCCTGGTTTGGACATCCCTTACGTATTATGTAATGGGATACAGCCCTGAAGTTGGGAGGTAAGTGAGTTTCAAAAGTTATAATTTTATCAGATAGCACTCCTGAGAAAATTTATGTCAGGTTTTCTTATCCTTTACCTTCTATTCAGATTCTTCCGCCAGTTCCTTATATATTTTTCCGTGCAAATATCATCGGCATCCATGTACCGTTTCTTGGCATCAGTCTGCCAAACTATGGATTGTTCAGTAGCAATTGGCACTCTTCTACTTTTCTTGGAATTGATATTTTGTGGCTTTATCATCCCACAATGTAATGTTCTCATCTCTCTTATAAGTATGAAATAAACTACCAAACATGATTATGATTCATTAATCTAAGTGCTTTGGTTACAGCGTTCATGCCAAGCTGGTTGAGGTGGGCGTTTTGGGTTTCCCCTCTCACATATGCTACCATAGGCCTCTCAGGAAATGAATTTCATGCTCCAAGATGGCAAAGGGTAATGAACATTTCTAGTTTTTGCCTACACTATCTTAATATTAAATACACCGATTTTCATGCTGTTTTTCTTATTCTTATCTGATTAATGTACTCAATTCTTTGTTCACTTTACAGGTCCTGACAATGAATTCTACAATAGGACAAGAAACACTGAAAAGCCATGGATTTTACTTTGAGGAGTACTTTTTCTGGATTTCAATTGGTGTCTTACTTGGGTTTGCTTTAGTCTGGAACCTTGGATTTACTTTGGCCTTAAGTTTCTTGAAGTGTATGTTCCACTTTTTCCCATTTTGTTTGATTGTTCTTCAGAATAAGAAATACATGGTTGTTCATTTTTCTCTTGTTAAAATTTGGTTCAGCCCCTGGATATTCTCGAGTTGTCATTTCACACGAAAAGCTTTCCACAGTAAAGAAAGGAGATTCTCTCAATGGTGCAGATATGGAAGACGTGTCTAGCTTTTCACATTCCCGTAAAAAGGAAGAATCTAGTAAAGGTTTATTCTTTTATCTTCATTTCATCGAATCACTTTTGCAGCCTCATTTAAACTATGTATTCATGTCTACCTTGTTTCTTATCACAGTGAAGATGGTGTTACCTTTTGATCCGTCAACATTAACATTTCAAAATGTACAATACTATGTTGACACACCTCAGGTAAAGAGTTGATTTGGAATATAAGACTTGTACTGGAGACACCATTAACTGATAAACATTCATGCACCTGTATAATGTCAACTTATGAGCCGTTGGATGACACAAGAATATTAATATCATTATTGGTGCATTGTTTTCATTATGTTAGGAGATGAGAAAAGAAGGATATGTTCAGAGGAAACTCCAAATACTGTCAGATATCACTGGAGCAGCCAAGCCTGGTGTTCTAACAGCCCTGATGGGTCCTAGTGGAGCTGGAAAAACTACTCTTCTCGATGTTCTGGCAGGGAGGAAAACTATAGGATACATAGAAGGCGAAATCAGAGCAAATGGTTATCCTAAAGTTCAAGAAACATTTGCTAGGATATCAGGTTATTGTGAGCAAAATGATATACATTCTCCTCAAATCACAGTAAAAGAATCTTTGATTTTTTCTGCTTGGATGCGCCTTCCCGCTTGTATTGATTCAAAAACTAAAACTGTAAGTCTCGAAAGATGTGAGAAATGATGATATTTGGCTACCTAAGTTTGGAGATAATTTGTCTTAAATATGCCGCTTTACCGGATTTTGCAGAAATTTGTGCAAGAAGTTATCGAGACAATTGAACTTGATGGAATGGAGGATGCTTTAGTTGGCACACCTGGTCTTAGTGGACTATCAACTGAGCAACGGAAACGACTCACAATTGCTGTGGAACTCGTTGCTAATCCTTCCATAATATTCATGGATGAACCTACCACAAGTCTAGATGCAAGAGCTGCGGCCATTGTCATGCGTGCTGTGAAGAATGTAGTTGATACAGGTAGAACAATTGTTTGCACAATCCACCAACCAAGCATTGACATATTTGAAGCATTCGATGAGGTGAAAAATCCGATTTATTTGACCGCTCCTTGCCATCAAGAAAAAGTTTAATAAAACGAGTCCTCCACTTCTCTTTCATATTCATGCTAATGTTCATTGCAGTTGATTTATCTAAAAAATGGTGGGAGTTTAATCTACTGTGGACCATTGGGACAAAATTCTAGTAAGGTTATAGAATACTTCGAGGTTAGTTACGCACTTTTGGCCTTTTCATTCTCTGATTAATGTATACTACACTAATTGCTTTCTGGACATAATTTTTTTACTTCTATACTCTTCGTGGCAGAATATACCTGGGGTGACCAAGATCAAAGATAATTGCAACCCGGCGACATGGATGCTAGAGGCTACTTCATCTTCAGTAGAATCTGAACTAGGAATCGATTTTTCTGAAATTTACAAGAGTTCTGCCTTGTATGAGTAAGTTAAATTAGAACGCTTTGGTGATTTTTGTATTTTCTAAAGTTGAACCAGGAGCCAGTGATTTCCTCTTTACATGCATATTCATTTTTATACCTTCCACTGTTCATTTTGTGGTAGGATTAGTGGATATTTATGAACTTCCAAGTGATAGATTTTATTTTATTTTTTGGTAGGAACAATAAAGAGCTTGTAAGGCAACTGAGTAATCCCCCCTCCAGGTTCCAAAGATGTGTATTTTCCAACCCAATATGCCCAAAACTATTGGGGACAGATCAAAAATTGCCTATGGAAACTGCATTTATCTTATTGGAGAAATCCTTCATACAACTTGATGCGTTTCGTGTTCACTATTGTAATTTCGTTGACTCTAGGCATCCTCTTTTGGGACCAAGGAAGTAAAATGTAAGTCTGGGTAAATTTGTAAAGGAGTCGATACTTTTATGGGTTGTAATTCTGCAGATACATTAACTTTAATCTTCTTTTTTTCCCACTACAGAAACAACCAGCAGAATTTATTCAACATTTTTGGTTCAATGTATGGAGCTGTGATGTTCCTTGGAAGCAACAGCGGCTCAGCTGTTCAACCATCTGTGGCAACCGAGAGAGTCGTTATGTATCGAGAAAGATTCGCTGGGATGTACTCTTCCTGGTCTTATGCTCTTGCACAGGTAACACGAATACACAAACTTATCAATGTATAATACGCTGAGCACAATTATAACACGTAAAAGTAATACGAATTAATTGTCGGACCTATATTGCAGGTGTTGATCGAGATTCCCTACCTATGTGCACAAGCTGTAGTGTTTGTGATAATCACATATAGTATGATAGGATACTATGTGACGGCATATAAGGTGTTTTGGTACTTCTATGCCATCTTCTCTACACTGCTGACCTTCAGCTTTTTAGGAATGCTTCTTGTCTCTTTGACACCGAATATTGCAATAGCTGGAGCTTTAACCTCTACTTGCTATCCATTGACTAATCTTTTCTCTGGCTTTTTGCTTCCTAAACTGGTTAGTATTCTCCCTCTAGTTTTGATCTTTAAACACTCTTTTGCATGTCATTGCTCATAAAAGAGTAAATCTTGTTGTCATCCTTCAATTTCGATAGTTTGAAGATAGGAAAAGGGGTTACAGATGTCCGGATTTGAACCGTAGTTTCGTTGTTGGTTTGTGCAGAAAATACCAAGCTGGTGGATCTGGATGTATTATTTACTGCCAACATCTTGGACTTTAAACTTGCTGCTGACTTCACAATATGGAGATGATAATGGTGAACTTATGGTATATAATGAAACTACAACAGTATCTACTTTGTTAGAGCAGTATTTTGGGTTTGGAAATCATCACATTGCTGTTTCTGCTGCTGTTCTCTTCTGCTATCCCTTAATTTTTTCATCACTTTTTGCATTCTTTATCAACCGTTTGAACTTCGAGCGAAGATAAAATCGTCTTCCCGCTCTTGGAACAAGAGAATAGTAATTTGTAGTAAGAAATTAACATGTAATTAACACGAATTTTCAATAAATTGTTCAGAATTCTTTGTATTCATGTGTAACTTGGGTTTAATAAATCTATGGTTTCCTTCATATATGTAACAAAACCTTGGCTGGATCATGTTGTTTTCACTAGGAACCTCTGTGCTTGTACCAATTGTGTTCTTTTGAAAGCAACCTCTGGATTTTCAACTGAAGTACTGGGCTTGGGGAAACACTCATCTATTTCTAGTCTTGACAAGCTGTGGCCTTGAGGCCTTCCTCTCCATCTTTTCCCTTTTCTTTCTAGTCTTTTCATCCTCCACCTCTCCCTAATCGAACAAACAATCTTACAAATATCGATATATGAATTTTACGGTTGCCCTGCGGAATAATACGAGGGTGTAGAAACCGGACATACCTCTGAGCCCTGTGATAGAAATCCACTAATGAACCCGAAAGATTTATATGCTCCAAATGCTGGTATCTGAAAAGCAACAAATAACTCCATAACCATCCGAGGAACATGGGGTAGTATTAAGCTACCAATATGGGGCTACTATACCAAAATGATATTCTGCTAGTGTAATGAAATTAGCAACATACTTTCGTTCCAAATTATACGCTTTAATTCCAAAAGCAGAGCAAAGGATGGAAGTATCAGATTGATTTCCATGAGCAACCAGGTAAAGAGAACTTACCACAAGATACGTATACCAAAACTTGTCAGATATAATGGATGCTAGTTGCACAAAATTTGTAATGTAGATAATATCATGTAAATAGCTGCAAGAAACTAGCAACCGTAAGGTGGGGATATTTAGTACATACAGAAACACACACACACAGAGATCATAAGACAAATAGACAATAGATTGAACTAATTCATAACTCAAAAGACTTATATATGAACATAAAGATTTAAACTATCCAACAAATAAGCTAAAGAACATATTGGCAGACACATTGAAATTAAGGTGAAAATAAGATAAAACATTGAAATTTCGTACCCACATATTCCGCCAACGCTCATATCAAATCCATCATCAAGAAGCTCTCCATCATCAGCGTAAGAAGGTTTTGCCATCCGGGCAAGTTGTTGATAGGGGAAGAAGTAAGCTACAGATGTTAAAAGTAGACCAACCCAATGCTTCCATGTGATTGAGAAATGGAAGATCAACATCCTAACCAAGACATAGATAACCCACATAAAAGAAAATTAGAACATTAACCCCAAAAAGTAAGATAATTAACAAGTTTAGAATCCAACTACAAAGACAAGAAAATTAAATAGTACTTAACCCAACAACAATCAATCTCCACATTGACTAAAAGTGAGAACAATTGTAAGAAATCTGATGTGGTGGTATGTCAAAACAAAAGCTAATTAAGAAAACGTTTTTCAAAGGCTCAAAATAAAATCTACAAAGTTAAACGAAAAACATATTGCATCTTTTCTACAGATTACTAAAGAAGAAGAAAAATTGATGATAGAACCTACCAAGAAAAAAACTTACACTGGGCTCCAACTTCCAATGCTTAAGGACTTACAAGATCATTGCTTTGTACATATTCCAATTCTAGTAATTAACAGAATTAGCACAATTACTCATGCTAGATCCGAAAACAATTATAAGATTAACTTAATAGTCAACGAAGGGATGTATACAAGAAACAGGAAAAATTCATTTCTATTTTCTTCCTGATTGTAGATCATGGTGTTATAACGTACTGAGTTATTCATTAACAAATCTAATTTAATCAGGATATAATACTTGGAATTAATTTAAAAGATAAATAAGTCATAACTTGAAGAATTTAAGGGAAATAATAATAAGACCAAGAAGATGATGAGAGCGTACATTGCAGGCAACTATGAGGCGACGCAGATTGCTCATATGGCGAGCATTCTCTTCCGTACGCTTCTTGGCACCTTGATTTGCCATTTCTCGATCTCTTTCCGCGACTGGTCAACGACTTTCACTCTAGATTCGATAACAATCAAACAGACCGGGAGGAGGAGGCCTCAAAGAGAGAGATAAATAAATAATTGTTCTTATACCACTTGTCACCAGATTATTATATTTTTTTCATTAAAAAATATGTCTAATAAAATATGCAGTGTACGAACCGAACGACTTCAGTATTAAAGAAATTATTGTAACTCCTTGAGATTCCATGTTCAAGCACCATAAATACCAATAGTATGAACGTTCAATGTTAACTGTTTGAGAGTATGTAGTACCATCACTTTTAAATTCAAGGATCTCCTTTTTCCTTTTCAACTAGTCCAACACTCGATTCGGAGATTAGTTCACTGACAATGAATCCCTAGTTGTTCTTGTTACACTTCTTATCGGTTTGCCCTTGAACCGGTAGAGGGAACTTACACATCTTTGATTTTAGGAGTTCATGTGGTACTCACTTTCCTCTATGACGCTAGTCACGTCGTTCATCGTCTCACCCGCTGACACATCTTTCAGAATGATCCTTCATTCACAATTACTCAATACATGTTCGATTGGAGATACTCAGAAGTATTTCATCTAGTATGGTTACTTCTGTTGTAATCCACTCCTATGAGTGTTTTCTAGGCCCCTTTGGCAATTTATGTCTCTCAAGAACTAAGTTCCACCATTATGGAAAATCCTTAGCTCTTATAGTCCTTAACGAGGTCAATTCTAACCATCCAAAAGGGGTAATATCGATATTCTGTTTGCGGTATCGATACTTTGGGTCAAGTATCGACACTCCTATGAGTATCGGTACCAAAATGGCTACTGGATTGCAAATTTTACCCTTAGTATTGATATTGTTACCTTCAGTATCGATACCAGGGTTATAATATCGATACTCCTCTTTAGAATATCGATACTCCCATTATAAAATGTCCAAAAATTGATCCAGTTCAACCAATATCGATATTGTTCATCTAATATTGATACCTAACCCAGAAAACCTAGAAATAGGCTCGGGAAACACTAAAAAATCCTCTCAAAAACTCTAGTTTGGTCTCAAATCAACTTCTAAACCTTAAGGGGCTTATTTAGGGTCATTTAACACTATCAAAACACAAACTTTATACTAAAAGCGTTATCTAAAACAAGAATCAAGCAAACCCCCAAATATACTCAAATCCCCAAATACCCAACAAGGCATTATGTTTAGGAGTTTCATAACACAACAAAGGATTGCAAATACAATACCTTAGCTTAGAAATTCGAAATGAAGTTCTTTTCTTCAACTACTCTGTTTTTTTCTCTTATGTGTTTGCATTTGAACTCTCCAAACCCATTTTCTCTTGTAAAATAAGAAACCCAAAGCTTAAATCCTTAAAACAATGCTGATGAAAGGATTATGGACAAATTTGAAGTATGAGAAAGGCTCAAGAATTTACCTTTGAGCTATGGAATTTGGAGAGGAAGAATGAGAGGGAAAAAATGAAGAAATAAAAAGAAGAAGGAGATAAAAAAGATAAAAACTTTCGTCTTTTTAAAAATGAGATAATTATACTATAGGTCCCTCCTCGTTTTTCTACAATTCAAAAACCTATTTTCTGACTAATTGAGCTCAAATCCAACTCAATTAAGCCCATACTCGGTCCAACGACTCTAATTATGAAACCTTCGAAACCCACATAACTCTCGGGTAAACTCGAAACTACTAACCTGGAATTTAGGGTGTTACATTGTAATCACCTTAGCTTAATAAAAAATAATAATTAAGCTCTACATATTTGAATACACTTGTACTTAATTTATGGGGTAAACTATACCAGTGAACACCCAACTATAACCCCTTTTCATTTTGACCATCATTTTTGAATTCTTGTCAATTAGGTCACCCAACTATTTAAATGCATTCAATCAAGCCACTAGCCGTTAACAGTTAACGAAAGTGATGATGTGATAGTTAGTAAAATTGGTATAATTATACATTTGGTCACTATTACTTATATATTCTATCAATTTGATCATAATTTTAATAAATTAAAATAAATTTAATATACGAATCAGATCGTGCCACATGTCATTAGTGTCAAATATCATGACACGTGTCATCCTTTGGTGAAAAGAAAATTAAAGTTGTTGAAATAAGGGAGAGGGAAAATCGAATTTGGGTTTTTGGGGTTGATGAAGCAACCTTCCAACCATTGAACCAAGCTGATTACTTAGTATATAATAGGCTACATATGATATATATTTTGTATATTAATATAAACTTAAATTCTTAATATTTTGTATAATACTCTATATTTTAACTTAAATTCACGTATTAATATTAAAAATATTTTTATTTTTATTTTGAATTATTAAATATATTTTATTCTTGTCTTAACCTAAAAATAAATTTTATTTTTATTTTAACTTAAATTATATTATAATCTTATCCTAACTTAAAAATATATTTTATTTTTATCTTAAATTTTAAAAAGTATATATATTTTTTATTTTAACTTATTACATATATTATGATGTTCTTAACTTAAATGATTAAATATATTCTAGTCTTACCTTAAATTATTAAATATATTTTATCCTTATTTTAACGTCAAATATATATATTATTCTTATTTTTAAATTAAATATGTATATTTTATTTTATTTAAAAAAGTATATTTTATTTTTTATTTAATTTAAAAATTTAGACATTATTTTTATCTTAGTTTTAAAATATTATAAGAATAAAATATAAATATTTAAGTTAAGGTAAGAATAAATTATTTTTTAAAATTAATAAAAAATTAAAATATATATTTTAGGTTAAAATAAGAATAAATATATTTTTAAGTTATGATAAGAATAAAATATATAGTTTAATGTTAAGATGTTAATTTAATTTAATATGTGAATTTAAGTTAAGATATATAAAATTATAAGTATTTAAGTTTAGACTTGTATTCACTATACTTGGCATATGCAATTTAAACCAAAAGGTTTGCTTGATTTAGTGGTTAAACTTCTTCTTTACTTCTCAATTATCTTGGGCTTGATCCCTTGCTTCCTTATTTCATCTTTTTCAATTTTCTTTTCATTTGGTTCAAAATAAAATTATTAAATTAAAATAAATTAAATTCGCTAGTAGAATTGTAACACCCCCAACCCGTATCCGACCCGGATACAAGTCCGAAGTGTCACATTGACTTTTCAAACATTTATTCGTATAAAATAGTGAGTAATTTAAAAACTTTGATAACATTTAACTTATTCAAAACGTTTACAAAATATATCAGAGTTCATACAATTTATATCTTTAGACTACATGCCAACTACACTCTATGAACAGTACATATATTTTCTGATCCGACATTTGGTAAGGAGAACTGACCTGTCTTGCTCCGCATTACTCTTTACTCTTCTCGAAACCTACGTGTGAAACAATCACACGCTAAGTCGAAGACTTAGTGAGGCATAACAACTTATAATGCACTTTATAACATATATCAATACATGCATATTCTGTTCTATCATGTTATACCAATACCATGCATTCTTCGTATCCTATAAACTCATATCAGATTAATTACAGTAATTACATACATACACATAATTCATCATATCACAAATCATATACATATATCACATACATTGTTCTCATATCACCAATATCCATACCTGTAAGCATATTACTTTAACATTCATGAATTTGTATTAATGAGTTTCTTGACCCATGATATCATATTGAGAACCTAAGGTATCTGAGTATTGTGAGGTTGTGCACTATGCTGTCACTACAGCTCGTATAAATGCACCGAAGTGCCGCGTAGAATTGCACCGTAGTGCCATATAATGATGTCCATAAGGACCACATAGAATTCCTTAAGAATCATATACATATGCTAGGGATCATATATGTGTCTCACCAGACTTCACACATGTTCCAAAGAATATATATATATCCCGAAGGACCGCGTAGAATATTGTCCCGAAGGACCGCGTAGACCCTCTACTCTTGGCATGCCAACTATACCCCTAGCTCTCAAGACACATAACATGGGCATTTTCTTTTATACTTATCATTTCACATAACACATAGTTCAATTACTCATAGAACATTTTCATATGAGTCACATTTACATGTCACATAGCTTATATTTCTCACGTAGTTACATAGATCCATATCATATAACATTTATCACAAAGTGCACATAATCACACATATCATATCATATAGCTTAGATCATTTCTCAGATATTCATATAAACATACATATCATATCTTGTTCACATATGATCATATATGCTTCATATAACACATAAAACACTTTCTCCTAGCTTATATCAATTTTTAGAGTTCTTTCATATTACCTGATGACATATATCATATAGATATATAATAACGGATATCATATATCTACCTTATGCTCTATTTCTTTGTATTCCCATAGATTATAAATTATGCTGTATTTATAAACATATATCATTTAATAGTATTTTTATTTAGGTACTAATTAATCTCTTTACTTAATTCAATTTATATTCATTATAATCTTTTCATATAGCTCCATTATACTAATTCTCATAATAAATCATACCACTAAGTACTTGTCCAACTCATGTTTCCATTATGCATATATTGTTACCCATGTTTACCTAGTTCATATCACTTCTTATAAACTCACATTCATCATATTTTCCTATTATTACATATTTTATCTCATAACCATGTATCCACATAGTCTTATATTTCATTATCATATTACATATACTTGTTCTCCTATGACCCTTAATAAACATATATTTCTATTTCCCTACATCTCTCGACTTATCTTCTATATTCCTATAATTTCATAACTTATTTTATATCATTTTCCCTTTTTATTCACATAAACCATCTATTTATTTAGTTCAATTTCTCATGACTTCCACAATACTCTTTAATAAAACTTTGTAGCTCTTCACTATAATACATAAACCATAGTTTCCTTTAATTTATCAATCTTCCCTATATTACTTATGTATCCTTATTTATGCCTTCGAATTCATACTATTCTCTTAGAGTCTCCTAACATTT